CCCCAGCCTGCCTGCACCACGTCTCCACCCAAGAGAAACCCGTGGGAGGCCGGGTCACGTGCCCATTCGAGCCAGAGATGGCTCCGATCACTCAGAAGTTCCACCTGATGTAGACTAACAACGGGGGTCTGGCCAGGCCCGTGCCCTTCAATCCTACTGTTTTGACACTCGGGGTGGCTGCGGGTGAGGTGTCCACCCCGAGGAGCCCCAGGTCCCTGGTGTGATCAGATGCTGCCCCCAGGCTGAGCAGGGCAGGAGGACAGGAGGCCTCCAGAGGTGGGCAGTGGTCACGTTTGCACCACTTCCCTGGACGCACACCTGGGTTCCCGGAGGCCCTGCCTGGCCACGTGTTGCGTCTGTTCTAATGCTGACCGCAGCCCCAGCTGGACCACCCCAGTCTGCACATGCCCACGACAGTTTGGCAATGAAAAGTCTAGAAAACAGATGGTCTCCCCGTCTGTCTAGAGCCCCAGCCTGGACAGGAACTGGATGTGTCCGCTCCTGAAACTTGAGGGCGGGTGGGTCTATGGTGACACCACCGACAGCCCTGGTCACTGGCTGGAAAAGGCCAGCGCGGAGCTGAGCGGCCACACTGTGGGCACGGCCGAGCCTCCCGAAACATGGGAAGAGCCGCGTGTAAGGGGTTTTCCTCACGTCCACTCCGTGGGGGACACGGCGCGTCCACACCCACGTGAGAGCCACTGAACTCCAGCCCCGTGGAAAATAAGCACACAAGCCCTCACCGAGCGCTGCCGGCCCCTGGAAAGGCGCGGAGCCGGCCGGACGCAGCAGCCCGCTCTGGGTGACCCGCCCAGGGAGCGAGGCCCCAGGGCCGCGCCCGGTCCCTGTAGCGTGACCGACAACAGCCGGGACATGGAAACCAGCCTGGGACCGACAGGCGGTGCTTCTCCCGGGGACACACGCAGACACCCGCCACGCACGCGTGGCCCGTCCCCACCCACGGACGGACAGACGCCGGCCCTGGGGGCGGTAGGGTCAGTTAACACCTTTTCAGGAAGCCGGCTTAACCCCAGAGGGAGAAACCCACTGAAGGCCACTGTGGCCGCTGCCCCTCCTCTGGCGAATGCAGACTCAGCCAGACTGCGCCGCGCCCGGGGTGTGTCCAGCTGCTGCCCTCTCTGAAGGCAGCTTCTTGCCCTTTAGTGCTGCCTCACTGCCCCTGTGCAAATGGCCATGTCCTTGCTCCCGACAAAGCTGCCCTCTGACTGAAGCTCACTCGCTGTGCTGACCCCTCGGGCCTGATTCCCTCAGAGGTCGGGAGCCCCGGGGCCTGGCACCCCCAGGCCGGAGCGTGCGTTCCGGCCCCCCGGAAAGTGTCCTGTTTGAGGCATAAGCGCAGGGCCCTCCTGCCCGCTCCCACTGCAGCACCCGGACGGAGGCCCACGCCCCGGGGCTCCGCCGTCTCACGGGCAGGCTGTCCCGCCTGCAGTCACACACCCGCCGACCCGCTGGGCCAGCAGGGAGGGGAGGCAGCCGGGCGGGAGGCCGCGGCAGGCGGCCAGCGCTCCGCTCCCGGGGCAGCTGGACGCAACAACGCCTCGCGGGCGGCGGGAGGGCTCAGCGGGCCGGGATGGCGAGCGTGGCAGGGGACGGGGACGTGCCAGCTGCACTGCTCATGGAAGCAGCAGATTCTTCCAGGGGGCGACGATAAAGCGAGGCAGGCAGACGGTGCCCGGGCAGGGCCGGCCCAGCCAGGGGCCCGGGGCAGCCTGCGTGGCCGCTGCCGGTGAGGGCCTGCCCCCGCAGGCCGGGCGCCTCCCCTTTTCGGGAGAGGCCTCGCCCCAGCAGGCCGGGTCCTCTCAGGAGGACGCCGGGCGGGTGGGCTCCCAGTCCACAAATTCAAGTCCCCCACCCCGTGCAAAACGGGCTGGACGTGTCTCCCGTTTGCTCCAGCTTCAGCGTGGCGCCTGAGGAAGGCCGTCGCCCGCCGCGGCGCTCCTTGCTGGGGGCAGCGGCGGCTCTGGGCCCGCCATCCCCGGCCTAACAAGCGGCGCTCCGCCCGGCGGGTACAGGCCCCGACTAGATGACGCCGAGGCGCCTCCTCGGAGTCCCAGGCTCCCGGCGGGGCAACTGCCCCCTCCCGCCGCCCCCCGAAACAAGGCCCAAGTGTAAGCAGCCGTTGGCTGTGTGTTTGTGGGTGGGTGTGACTGACGCATTTTCCGTGCCGGGAGTTCTCTTTCAGTGAGGGAATCAGCCTTGCCTCTGGATGTCTGACTGGAGCATCCCCGTCAGCGCACGCTGGATGTCGACCGGGCAGAGCAGGGGCGTGGAGCCGCCCCCACAAGCGGGTGCCTGGGGGGGCGGGGGCGGGGCTGAGCCAGGCGGTGCGGGGTGCGTGTGGCCCGGGGAGGGCTGGGACCAGGGCTCAGGCTCGCGCCTCAGGGTCCGTTCTAAGACCCGGGGACCCATTCAGCCTGTGGCTGCCGATGAGCCCCTCAAAGCCCGCTCCCACCCTCTCCCCCTGCGGACGGGCAGGAAAGCCCAGGGCTGGCCCCGGTGGCACCACGCGTAGGACCCCACCAGCCCACCCCCCCAGCCCACCTGAGCCCCCCCTGGAAGTGGAGCCCACCCACTCTCCCCAGCTGCCCTCCCTCGTGAACGGTCTCTGTCCCCTGCCTCTGTGGGCTTGGCGCCTGTGGTCGCTGCCTGGGACACCATCCCCAGGGCTGTGGGCCACTGTCACAGCGGGGGCGCTGGGCCTCCCCGTGGGCCTCCACCCTGTCACTGGGGAGAGAAGCAGCAGCACCAGAGGGAGACTTGGCCACGGCAGGTCTCAAACCCTGCCCAGGGCGACTCCAGAGATGCCATGAAGCCCGAGGCCACAGCACCTCCTGACTCCCTGACCGTGACGCCAGGTCTCAGCTTTAGCCCGTGGCCCAGTCACCCCACATAGGAGGGACACACCCCGCCGCCTATCGCCCCATGAGTCTGGTCCACTAGGCTGGTGCTTCGCGTGGCCCTGGCCTGCTCCTGCCACCTCCACACCCACAGTGTCCACAGTGGGCCAGCACCTAGTAGGTGCTTAGCGGGGCGGGGTGGAGGGAGAAGCTGCCTGGGGGAGGGAGTCACTCTGCCAGCCGGCACCACCTCGACAGCAGGGCAGTGTGGCAGGATGGCAGCCAAGCTCAGACTGCCTCCTGGCAAGCGCACGCGCATGGCAGAGCCCCGGCTTACAATAAAGGAATAATTCTTAAGCACACACGCACTCAAACCCGCGCGGCCAGCAGCGTGGGAGTCCTTCACTGGCACCAATCGCGTGCTACAGAGACTAGCGAATTCGACCAGTTCTCCCAGGGTTGGATCTTCCTTTCTGCAAGAGCATTTAAAAGGGAGTCGGATGAGGTCACAGCTGCTGTGCCAGCTCGGTGCCGATAAAGTTTTATGGGCACGCACCTGCCGCGACTGGCGCGCACTGCATGAGGAGCTGCTCCCCCGCCGCGGAATGGGGACCTGCACCCGAGAACTTGCTTGCGACAAAGCAGAAAGCTCAGTTTACCTCGGGCCGGCCCCGGGCAGCACCATCTCCTGCCACAGCTCCC